CCAAAGCTTCTGCTACAGCACATCCATTAATGACGGCTGCACCTTCAACCCACATATCCAACTGCCACTGTTCACCTCTACCTGTACCCACAAACAGTCTAAACTCATTTCATATACATATGAATCCTCTTTTATTCCCAAACTGCTGTTCTACCTCCATTAACTGTTTCAGTTAAAAAAAAAAAAAAAAAAAAAGCATTACCTACCAAGCCTTTCAAGTCTGGATATAGTGGTCTCTGCCCTTTTCCTTGTATTCCTCATCAAATCAGTACCCCAGCCCTGCCATTTGACATGACAATCTCAAATAACCTCTCCCCACAGTCACAGTCCAGACCCTCATCACTTCACATGACATCCTTGCTTATAATCCAGTGGCTCTCAAAGTGTGGTCCCCTTACCAGTAGCATTAGCATCATCAACTTATGAGAAATACAAATTCTTGGGCTGCCTCTGACCTACCAAGTCAGAAACTCTAAGGTGGGGTCCAGTAATCTGTGTTTTTCAAGTTAGAGAACCACTGCTCTAGTTTGCTCTTCACTAAATATACTCTACCCACTTAACAGCCATCTTGCAAAAAACCAAATCTGATTGTTTACGCTCTGCTTAGAAGCTGTTCGTGATATTTTTGATTAGAAGGTGAAATCTAAATTTCTTAGTACAGCACAAGAGGCCCACCAGGATCTAGTTCCCGGTTACCAGTTTTCAGAAGGTAAAGCAGAGCAAATCATCTTAGTAAGAATGCACTGTTGTGTAGTGTGATTAAGGGGATGAACTGTGGAATCCTACTGCCTGAGCTTTCAATCTCCACCTCAGCACTTCACAACTAGCTGTGACTTTGGATGAGTCCCTTAACCTCATGCACTATACCTCAGTTTCATCATCTGTAAAATGAGCGTAATAATGACTTCCATATCACAAGGTTGTTGTGAAGTTAGCACAGTACCTGGTTGTCTGGACTCAGTGATTATTAGCTATTACTCTTGTTTTGGTTATTTCAAAAGGAATAGAGCCAATCTAAAGTATAGCAAGAAGAGGAGAGGACTGGAATACCTGCCCAGACTAAGGGAAGTGGTCCCCATAAAGGAGGCCCGTTTCTCTGGGCAGTTTCAGTTAGTCTAGAAGTGAACAAAAATAACCCGATTCTCATGTAAGAGCTTGAGATCTCTAGGGTTATTTTGATTGTGGGGAGGGGGTGGATCTGTAATGATTCCAGGATGTTATAGGAGAGGTAAACTCCTACCAGTGAGAGCCAGGAAAGCTAATTGTGAAGGAAACAGGAAAACTCAGAGCAAAGCAGCAAAAACAGGGTGAGTGATTTATTTCTTTGATAACAGTTAATAGAGTCCTAGTGGGCTCTATTTTCAGAAATGTTGGTTACTTTTTTTTTAAAGATTTATTTATTTTGAGAGAGGGAGAGAGAGATAGCGAGCGTGGGGGGAGGGGTAGAGGGAGACAGAGTCTTAAGCAGACTCTGTGCTGGGCGCAGAGCCCGATGGGAAGCTCGATTTCATGACCCTGAGATCACAACCTGAGCCGAAACCACGAGCCAGGCACTTAACCCACTGAGCCACCCAGGAGCCCCAGATACGTTTGTTACTTAACAGCAGAGGCATTAAGTAATGATGGGAATCCAATTCTAACCACCAAAAATTAATTATAATTTTGGGCAAATCTCTTCTCTTCTGTCTCCAATTTAATAATTTGTAATATCAGCTATGTTATGAAGCTCACCACATATATACTTATGTATTTATTGCTTAGGACAGTGTCTAGTATGGGGGAAGCACTCAATATATGGCAACTATTACTATTGGAAGTATATTATCTTTAATACAAATTAACAGAAATAGGCACCTCTGGAGATTCCTGTCTGACCAAAGCAATTGTGTATTATCATCTAATATTGGGTTATATAAAACTGAGGGATATCGTAAAGACAGATCCCAAAACAGTGTTTCTATCACTTACGGTTTATCAATTTTCACTTCAAATATGTTCGTTCTATCCAAATGTTTACACTTAGTGTCTATTAGCTGCTAGCGGGACATTAGGCTGGGTGGGGGCTGGGGTGGGTGTGGTGGGACAACTAAGATGAATAAGGCATGGTTCCTGTCCTCAAAGAGAATATAAGCTTAGAAGAAAAAGGCAAAATCCAAATAAAACATGATTAAATGCTGTATGCGACCAAAAAAACCCAAAAAACACTGTAGAGATTAAAAGTCTTTACCAAGTTGACTAATTTTTCAAAACTTCTGGACTTCTCAGTTTCTCCTCTATCTTCCTGTTAGTCTCCATCTATTTTTATGTATCCATCTTTAGTTATAGTAGGGAGTCAGTATGTATAAAAACCAGTAACAGCCACCCACTGTAACAGAAGGTAGCAGCCATTTGTTTTGTTTCTCCCTTATATTCTCAGTGCATAGCAAAAAGTGGAGCATCTTCCTCCCCTTGTCTTACACAGGGTGGCTCATTCTTGTGCTTCAGCTCTTAGTTCAGATGTCACCTACCCAGAGAGCCTTTCTCTGAGCACCCAGTCTAAAGTTTGTTCCCTCTCCCACACCCATTATTCCCTAACACATCCTACCATTACCTTCAAAGCCCTACTGTTGTGGTGAATGCTGTGATGTGCCACCTTGATCCCCTTTAAGAATGAAAGGCTTATTCCCCCAGCTCTTGGGACTGCTGAGACAGCCCTCAGTTGTCAGTCCCCTTCCAGGACTGACCTGGCTGAAAACAGCAGAGGTCTCACCGTCTTTTCAGGACAACAGCCATCCAACGACTGCCCATGTATAAAGGCCTGGCTCTTCCCTCCAACTTGGGACACCTCTGAGGGGACAAACCAACACCAGAGTTCCCTTGGGACTGCACTGCAGCTTAATTTTTTCTATCTGCCAATTCCTGCTTCCTTTATTCCTTGGTAAGATCCAAAAGAGTCCTTGCTAATAAATGTCCTGCCCACAAATCTCCTCCTTAAGAGTCCCCAACCTAGGATAATCTGGAAACATCTTGTTCATTATCAGTGTACTTGTTTATTGTGTCTTCTCCCATCACTAGAATATAAGCTTCATGTGGTCAGGGACTGTATCTGTCTTGGTCACTGCTGTATCTGCTAACTCTGCACAGTGTCACAAAATATATATATGAATATAAATATAAATTGACAAGGTTAGTGAATGACTGAAACTGCCAGAATTGAGTGCCTCTGTAACAGCAACAGTATTTGGGCATGCTCCTATTCGGGGAAAAGATGAGTATGACCCAGGAGGTTTTCATCTCAAAAGGATTTCCATCCCCATAATGTCAAAAGTCCTGTGAGTCCTGCTTCTGCTTTCACACGGTGGGCACCAGCCATGCTGTACAATAGTTCTGACGTCCAGTTCCACGTCAGAAAGTGGCCCTCACCCCCCAGACAGACACAGGCATACAGTGCCCTCTCCCTGCGAAAGAGTAACTGACGAATCACAGGTTCCAGCTAGCAGGTGGCAGCGCAGGTGAAATCGGTGCTTTCACTGGAACACCTTTTCCATCTCCTCCACGGTGTGGCCGCGCAGATGGGAGAGGGGGGAGGGTCTACACCGGGAACTGTACCCACACTACTGGAAAACCTCCTAGCCATCCACATTCCTTCCCTCAGCAAGCATCTACTGCCTAGGGCTACGTTAAGGGTAGGTCTTTAGTTTTCTAAGGAGCCAGCCTCCTCCTTGTCCCCGCCCCCAAATATCCTTCAACGAAGACACCAGTGACCTTTCTGAGAGGGGGCAGGGGGCACCAACAAGCCCGCCTCCCTTCTCTTCGGCCAGGCAGAAAGCAGGTTTTTCTACCTGAGGTTCTAGCGCTCTCACCTGCCCACCAGCCGCTGAGTCTCCCTAGGCCGCCGCCACCAGCTAGCCCCATAGGCCGAGCCGCACGCAGCCGCCGCAGCCGGTCCTGCCAACCTGCGCTCGAAGCTTGGAGACAGAGCATGCGCAGCGCTATGGTTGGCGCCGGCGCTGCTGAGAATCCGCTTTTCCGGGTTTTAGTGAGGTTCTCAGTCCGGAAAGGCTTTGCCGGAGACCCGTAAGAGCCGGGGGCGGAGCTTATTCAGCCTCAGTCTCAGCAAATGAGTTGAAACTGAAGAATTTAAATAACATCAAACGGACGTGTTAGGGCACAGTATCTGCCTTATGGCCCGCGCTTAAGAGCTATTATTGAATGAATGACAAGGTAGTCAACGGTTCCCCACAACACGCGGGCCTCCCAGATTTGACCAATCACAAGGCGCCTGATTTGTTGTTTGGCGCCAGTTCCCCGCCCTCTTTTACGTCTGCCTCCAAAACCAGGAAAAAAGGAATGGCTCACCCCAACGTCCCTGGATCGGGTTGGAAAGTGGACATGCTCAGTGAGAGCTGGTCCTGGTCGCTTTCAGAGGTTTTACCCACAGTCTTTCCGATGGGGGCATTTGGGAAGGTCGGGAGTCCTCCAACTCTTTAGCTTCACAAAGTGGGTAATTTTGGCACTATCTCTCCATCCTGCTTCTTAGTTCGAGGACAAAATTTTTATTTTTCTGTAGCATTCAGAAGAATTATAAAGGAAGTTATATGTATCGCTATTTCAAAGTTTATCCAGCATTGTGAGAGCCACCTTTGCTTTCCGACTTTTTTATAACCTGATTCTTGCGCTAGTAATTTTCCGGTATCAAGGTGCTCTGCACCACAGAAACGTTGGGTTTTAGTTTTCTTTTCTCTCGATCGCCTCCGTCGTCTAGCACTATGGGTAACCGTGATTCGTTACCTGCCAATCATATTCGCGGCGTTCCTAGCGTCTGAATGGCCGCCTTGTCGCCATTTTTGTTTTGGGCCCTCCTTGAAAAATGGGCGGAGGTCATTTTTCTTTGGGGTAGATTTCTTGCGCTGTGCCGGCCCTTCACTCAGTGTTTCCCCGCCATCTTAAGTTCTGGTTTTGGCTTCAAGCCGACGGTGAGGCCGCTCAGATCATTTTGTGTTTGGGCGGCGGCAGCGTTTTCCCAACGCACGGGGAGACCCTGGGAAAGGGGAAGTAAGGTCGAAGCTTGAATCCCCAAAGCATCTGAAGGTGGGCTTGAGAGCCTGCTGTCTGTTTAGTCTGAGTCTCCTCAGCCAAGTACTACTCCACCAGTGACCGTGGACAGTAAAAAACTAATAAAAGCCCGAACCCAAACCCTGCCACCATCATAGGTAAGAACGTGGAACTCCTGACAGCCTAAGATGTTCCTTCACTTGAACTGAACTATTTGCCCATCTCTTTCCCAACCCCCCTTGGGTTTTTTTCTTTTTTTTTTTTTTTTTAGCCTTTTCTGAATTCTTTTCCCCGTGCTTCCACCTTTTTTCATTGTTTTCAAAGTGCTAAAGAGTTGTTAACATAAGCCTGTGGGAAACGGCGTAAAAGTGGAAAGTATTGGTCTGGAGAATTTTTTGTTTTGGGGGAAAATGGAGTACAATGAATGGGCCAGGTATTTGCATCAAACTGTGGCTGCCCACAACCACTAATACACAGTCTCCTCTCAGACATTTTTAGGTTATGAGGTAGTATGGATTGTGTTGGTATATACTGCCTGGTCACTCATTTATTCATTGCATTTATTTTTAAAGATTTTATTTATTTATTTGACAGAAAGAGACACAGCGAGAGAGGGAACACAAGCAGGGGGAGTGGGAGAGAGAAAAGCAGGCTTCCTGCTGAGCAGGGAGCAAGATGAGGGGCTCAATCCCAGCCCCCCCCCCCGCCCCCCATCATGGCCTGAGCCAAGGCAGAGGCTTCACCGATTGGGCTGCCCAGTCGCCCCTATTCATTGCATTTATTGAGTACCTAATGTATGCTAACCCGTAAGGATTCTGCAGTAAACCAAACCAAAACAAACAAACAAAAAAACAACCCCTTACTTTCTTGGAGTTTACATTCTGTCTGACCTCAACAGCTACTAGTTTGGGGCAGGTAACAGTATTCTGTGGTTCTTAGCACTGTTGGATTATGACAAGTATCTCCTTGCTTCTTCCTTGATCTCCTCACCTTCCTTTTTTTTTTTTTCCCCTGTACTAGGAAGAAGTTGTATTGAGACTTATTTCTTGGGTCCTAGATGCCACCATATTTGTAGGCCAGGTGGCTAATTTTATGACCAATATTCAAGTTACTTAGGTCGCTCAGAGTGCCGTCTACTGACCAGCATCACCTGGAAGCTTCTTAGAAACTTTAGTCTCAGATCCCATCTCAAGATCCACTGAATCAGGATCTTTTCTAGGGAGTACACCTTAAAATTCAAGGAGCATTAATTCAGGACCTGAACTAAAGATACAGAATGCCTATTTTCAACCTGTGTTTCTTAAACAGTTCACAATATATTGTCAGTTTATTCCCTGTTTTACATGCGGTGGGCATATGACATGTTTTCCTGGGCTTTTTTTTTTTTTTTCTTTTGTTTATTTATTTTTTTAAGAGACAGTGGGAGGGAGGGGCAGACGGAGAGATTGATCCCCAAGTCGGGCTCCACTGCTATGGAGCCTGAGATCATGACCTGAGCTGAAACCGAGAGTCTGTCACTTAACTGAGTGAGCCACCCAGGTGCCCCTTTCTTGTGCTTTTTATCCATCAACTTGATGTCAAGATAACAATTTAGTGTTCTAAAAAATTGAGAATTTGTCAGTCTGGTATATTATTATATAACTGTTGTCACAGCAACACCTGTGTGCATATTTTCCCTCTGTGCAAATTTTTACTTTTAATTTATTACAAGTTGAATTCAAAAGCCTACATGTGTTCAGCAGTTCAATATTGACTTGGAAAACCTTGGGCCGTGCTTTACCAAAGTTTTTTCTGACATCTTGCTCTCCTCTGTCTTCCTCTAGTGAGAAATCTAATCATTTAAAAAAAAATATTCCAGGCCAGTATCTGCTGAGTTTTAGACCCTGTGGATGGAATTTAGGAACCAGTAAGGTGTTTGAGAGAACAGCAAATTACTTTTCTGTTTTTCACATGCTGTGTTTAGATTTTTTAAATCCCAGACAGATTTACTTAAAATAATTAGGAATTTGAAAGCATTGGAGAGAACTGGACTGGAAATGTAGTGAACCAGCTTCCCAGGAACCAGTCAGCTTGCCATTTATTTATTCTATGTGCTCAGTAAGTTGTCCAGCTTTTCTTGTTGTCCTTTTTCCACCTAATAATTTGGAAAAGAATGAAGGTTGTGTTGTTTTTTTGTTTAGCCTCATGTGAGTTTTTCAAAATGCAGCAAATACTGAAGTTTTGTGTAAGTATAATATGTATTGCTTTTGATTTTCACATACTGTATCTTGTATTGTGTGTGCCAGTAGAACACAGTGGGTAAGGAAGGAAACTTCAGAGCCATATTCCCTGGGTTCAAATCCTAGCTCCTCCACATACTAGCTGTGTGACCTTGAACAGATTACTTAACTCTCTGCTTCCATCTTTTCATCTGTAAAATAGGGTTGATATGAGGGTTAAATAAGTTAATAAAAGAAAAGTGCTTAAAACAATGCCTGGCGCTTGATCACAGCTATGTACATATTAATCGTTTTTTGTTATAATTAAATCTTTGGGTTATTAGTTTTGTTCCTGAAAATCAGTAAGGGAAAAGGTATTACAGTTCCATGACTTTGGGACATGTACCTGTTGGGAAGAGAGGCAGGTGGTCTAAATGTACTAGGAAGACAGATTTTTTTTAAATGGTCTTTTTCTTTTTAAATAGCCTTATTGAGGAATATAGACATATCTTGCTTTATTGTGCTTTGCAGATTTTTTTTTTTTTTTTTTTACATATTGAAGGTTCAGGGCAATCCTGTGCTGAGCAAGTCTTTTGTTGCCATTTTCTAACAGCATTTGCTTGCTTCATGTCTCTGTGTTACATTTTGGTAATTCTCACAGTATTTCAAACTTTTTCATTGTATTTGTTATGGTGCTCTGTGATCAGTGATTACAGCTTGCTGAAAGCTCAGGGGAAGGTTAACACTTTTTAGCAATAAGGTTTTTTTTTTTTTTAAACTTTTTTTTTTTTTTAAAGATTTTATTTATTTATTTGACAGAGAGAGAGAGACAACGAGAGCAGGAACACAAGCAAAGGGAGTGGGAGAGGGAGAAGCAGGCTTCCCGCGGAGCAGGGAGCCCGATGCGGGGCTCGATCCCAGAACTCTGGGATGATGACCTGAGCCGAAGGCAGACGCTTTAACGACTGAGCCACCCAGGCGCCCCAGCAATAAGGTTTTTTTAATTAAGGTATATACATTTTTTTTTTTTAATACATCATGCCGGGCCACATTTAATAGACTATATAGTAAAACTTAAACATAATTTTTTTTAAGGAAGTAAAACTTTATTGACCACAGTTTACTAGTATTTACAATAAAGTAAACAATATACAGTTGGATAACATTCTGACTGCAACGTTACTGTTTTTCCTGGTTTCTGCTGAACCAGTAACTCAAATACTGAGGAGATTGGGACTACATGTCAGGAATAAGCTGGGGTAGGGACACCTGGGTAGCTCAGTGGTTAAGCATCTGCCCTGGGCTCAGGTCATGATCCTTCAGTCCCTCAGATCGGGCCCCACATCAGGCTCCCTGCTCAGCAGAGGAGTCTGCTTCTCCCTCTCCCTCTGCCCCTTCCCCAGCTGTGTGCGCTCTCTCTCTCACTCTCTCTTTCAAATAAATAAATAAAATCTAAAAAAAAAAAAAAAAAAAGAATAAGTTGGGATAAAAAAAAAACATGCAGGCCAAGAATTCAGATTATAGAAGTCTGTCCACCCATTTATTCTAGCAGGTGCTAAATTGCCAGTATCTCTACCCATTTGATTATGATTAGGTTTCCATGAACAAAGTCTTAGCTATTCCATGAATCATGACCTTTTAGGCAGTATAGCACAGGGATTTCAACTTCTTGAAAAGGAATGGTTCACTAGAAGGAAGCTTAAAATGTCCATTTAAGTTTGTCCATTTAAGTTTTGCTTACCTAATGTCTAGTTTTGTCATTTGAGTGGGGAGGTTGTTGGTGGCGATAAAATTTTCCTTTCAGGGATCTTGCAAATAAACTTGCATTTATATGATTATAGATATGGGTATGTATTCTGATGTGGCTTATTTTAAATTGCCCAATTTAAATTGTTTACATAATATTTTAATTGTCCAATTAATTACAAAACTTGAAAAATTAGGGCTTCAGGAAAAATTTCAATTTAATTTTAAATTATTTCTTTTTTCAAAATTGTTTTATTTTTAAAGATTTTATTTATTTACTTAGCACAGAGGGAGAGGGAGAAGCAGATCTCCCACTGATCAGGGAGCCGGACGCAGGGCTCAATCCCAGGATCATGACCTGAGCCCAAGGCAAACGCTTACCTGACTGAGCCACCCAGGCACCCCTTAAGTATTTTATTTCTTAAGTTACTGAAAATGATAGCATCCCAGAAACACGGGTTTACCCATTGTTATAAAATGCTTCCCATTCACTACACGTCGGTCCAGTACTTTTTCCACCACAAATTCTTCAGACTCTGCCTCTTTTACCTTTTTACTTTTTTCATTCTGTTTCTTTCCCATTTTTTGCAATGTAGTAGTCTTATTTGAGGCCTTTTTTTTTTTATTGCAGACTTGCATAGCTATTATTCACCGCCTCTGAGCTGCTCCAGGTCCCTGGTCTTAAACATCGCTTTTATATGCACTGGAGAAGCAAAAATTCATGTGATTCACGTCATTGTGATAGTCACTTTATTGTGGTGGTGTGGAGCTGAACCAGGAATATCACCATGTTATTTCAGTAACTGTCGTATAGTAAACTGCACATATTTAAAGTTTGTAGTTTGTTGTGCTTGACATATATACAGGTAAAACCATCACCACAATCAAGGTACATTCCCCCAAATGAACATATCCGTATCGCCTAAATTTCCTTTTGCTGTTTTATAATCCCTCTTCCCTCTCTCTTCCAGGCAACCACTCATTTGCTCTCTGTCATGATAGATGTCACTGTAGATAAGTTTGCATTTCCCAGCTTATCTAAAAAGAATGTTACAGTACATGCTGTTTTTTGGTCGGAGTCCTGAGAGTCTGGTTTCTTTTCATGATTGAGAGCCTTCTTTGTTGGAAATATCAGTAGTCATTTTTTTTAATCGCTAGGTAGTATTCTCTTGCTAGATGCCCTGTAATTTGTTTATACATTCACTGGTTGAAGGACTTTGAGGTTGTTCTTATTTTCACAGTACTCCTTTTCACTGCTTTGTTCTTCAGCTTATTTGCATTGGGAAAAAAGTCCAATTATTTGGTGTCCATGCCTTCTATGTACACTGAAACCAGGAGTTGACAGTGGTAAAATGGGTATGTATTGGGATTTTTTTTACCTTTGCCTTTGTTAGTTTATGGATTAATGTTTTCTGAGTGAAACATGTCAAGGCTTTTTAAAAATGCAAAATGCATTCATTGACTTTTTAGTGGGCTGTAGCTCTTGATGTATACATGCCTAGTTATTTTGAGCTGTGTTAAATCTTTAAAGCCTACTATTTGTATATTACTTTTTGGAGGTTGAAAACAATAATGGATGCACACTAAGAAATCTACCCATCAGGCAACAAAGTAGAGGTCTAAATGGAGAGTACTGCTCATTTAATGTTGGTGTAGGTACATTTCTAAAGTCTTGGCTTCTCTTATAGAAAAGCAGTGCCTCCTGGTTATTATGGTATTGACATTTTGTGCTTGAATATGTCAGAACTGGTAACTAAAATTGGATTTCACTTATGTTAGTTATAGGATAATATATAGAATATTGCTGTTATAATATCTTAGACATTTAAGTTTATGTGTGTCACTGTGTTGATTCTCTAGTTAGAAAAGTTTGGATTTTTTGTTTTGCAATTAAAAAATTATTTTAAAATTTGCATATGCTAAAATTCATTCTTTTTGGTATAGGCTTTCATGAATTTTGGCCAGTGCACTGAGTTTTGTAACCATGGTGTCAGTCAGAATGCAGGACAAGTTCATTATCTCCCCACTCCCCCCACCCCCTGCCAAAATTCCCTCCTGCTGCTCCCTTAGTACTAACACTCTCCCATCTCCAGCTTAGCAACCAAAGATCTGCACTCCATCTCTGTAGTTTTCATGAAAGTTGAGAGGATTAGATTTCAAGACAATTATGTTAATAATTATCAGAAGGTTTTTTTGTACTGTGAAGGTGACTGGAAGACAGTTATCAGAGTGGGGCTTGAGGCTTGCAGTAGGAAGTGAGTTGATTAGGTGCTGTTTGTGCCCTGCAATGTTGATAATGATTATGGTTAACAGAGACCAAGGAACTGATGTAGGAAAGATGTTAGAGATCGAAGCCAATGGCCAAGGTAGAATTCTTGAGACGTCTTTAGTGCAAAAAGGTGACTATTACAGCATGGGGACAGGACCTGTGGGCAGGAAGAGCTGCACTGGGGTCATGAGGAGTGGCATCATTATATACTTTTAAGTTGGGAGGGGGTTAGGGATAGTGTAAGCCTCTCAGGTATTTTGGAAGCAGGGTTTTCAGGATTCTGAGGGGGCTAGCTATTGTTAGGTAAAGGTCATTTATTACTGTTTAGTAAAAACTCAGTCATGAGACCCTTCACATGTATATCAGTGGGTCATATGCTTGGGACTGCCAACGTGCATCTTGGGGCGTAGAGATAAAGGAAATTTCCAAAGGATTTTTTATATGTTAAAGGAGACTTATAGGGTCCTGGGACCTTATAAGTTCCCCCAATTAAGATTGCCAAAGTGGCAACATCAAGGCAGTTGAGTCTCTAGAGGAATGTCACTCTGCCTGTTTCAAGGACTTGTCAATGGCTGTAAGTATAAGGAAATTTAATAATTGTTCTTCTGCCTTTGTTTCCCACATCACCACCACTGATGTCTCAGTAAATATACCAAGTATTACCTATCAGATCTTATCTAGTTTTCACAGGACCTCTAGATAGACACTCATTATTATCCCACTTCATAGATAAGAAAATGGGAAACTTAGAGGAATTGAATAGCTTGTATGAGATCACTTGAAGAGGCAGGATTTGAACACATGTCTGTTTTACTAGAACCTGAAGGCTGTGACTGCCCCTGGGCAGGTACCTGTATCTGTTTCTGACAAAGTATTAAATAAAAATTAGACTTTGCCTATTAGTGAAGCATCCCATGCCAGGATCAGTGAGGATTTTCTGTGTGCACAGCAGGAAGTGAGGGGGCCCAGATCTTGGGCCAATTGGCTGGATTAAGGACGAAGAGTGACTGAAAGGTGGGACCATTCCATGAAATTATTTTTGGTAGAGGATTTCAGAATTTGACCTACATTTGAAGACAAAAGGAAAAAAAGCCCTAATGTTTTTGTCACTTGCGTTATCCTCCTTCCACTGTTGGAGCTTCCCTGTTTGTTTTTTGTCTTGTTTTGTTTTCCTTTTTTTCAAGCTTATTTTGGCATTCAAAATTACCATAGGAAGAATAGGAAAAACTGATTCTTTCTTACAATGACGGTGCCTTCTTAAGCTTTATCTAAGTTGTCAACAGCAAGATCTTTGCTCATTTGTTAGTTTTCCTTGGTATTTTTGTTAAAGTTTGTGATTCCTTCCTTGATATTGATTTCTGTTTTTTGTGGGGTTTTTTTTGTTAGATTGGGGCAGGGAATGAAATGATTTCTCATTCTTGAATTATGGTTGTTCCTTTAGGAGTCTTAGGGTCTTTATTGTTTTCTGTTTCTGCTCCCATAGTTAGCATAAGTTTTTTTTTTTTTAAGATGAAAAAAGGAAGTATAATAATTTTCTTGATAAAATTTGAAATCCAGCGATTAGAAACCTAAAGTTAATTTCTAGCCTTCGTAATCTGGAGTAGTTGCTTTGGCTTATGACACAGGCCAGCAAATCTAAAAGGAAGACAAATGTGAACTTCAGAATGCCTTGGATTTTCCCACAGAATAATCTAGAAGGTCACTGACTTTTTTTATTAGCATTTATCACTGCTTTCTATTTAAATGACAGGACAATCATGTGATAATGTTTAATCTACTTCCATTCCCTCCCAAAATTAATTTTCTTAAGGATCTCAGGATCTTTCCATCTCTATGAAAGACATTAATGCACACATATTCTTGGTGGGGTCATACTCTATCAAAGTCTCCTCTTTGTGAAAAGAATGACTGTTTTCAGGCCAGTGAAAGTGCACTCAAGAATGCAGAATAGAGGATGAGATATTATTTGTTAAGATTTATAATACACTTTAACTTCCCAGGCTACTTATGTAAATTATATGTTTCAGATATTTGGAAAATTGATCTTTTTGGAGATTGTCCTGAACTTCTTAAAATCAGGCAGTAAACTAAAAATTCTGCTGAACTTAGACTTCAACTGGGAGCTCTGACAGCAAGACTTTTTTTTCCCCAAAGATTTAATTAATTTGTTTTTTTGAGAGAGAGAGCGAGCAAGAGAAAACAAGGTGGGGGGGCAGAGAGGGAGAAGCAGGCTCCCCACTGAGCAGGGAGCCTGATGTGGGGCTCCATACTAGGACCCTGGGATCATGACCTCTGAGCCAAAGGCAGACGTTTAACCAACTGAGCCACCCAGGTACCTCTGATAGCAAGACTTTTTAACATTACACTTTAAACCCTGGGCACTGAGCTTATTGCTCCCTCTTGAAAGCAACTTTAGGCCTAGGAAAATAGTTTTTTATAAGATGCATATTTGCTTTGTGTGTGTGTGCGTGCATGTTCATGATGATCAGTAAAGCAAGTCTAGAAAAACTTCAGGATGTTCCCAGATTTAAAATTGAACGAATACAGAGGCTAATATCTTTTCCATTCAAATGAATGTTAGAATGTCTGTATTTAAAAAAAAAAAAAAATTACGCAGTGAAAAACTCACATTTATGGCCTACACTTCAGCAGTACCTCTGATCTGTTGCCCATTATTTTCAAGAGGAAACACTTTGATCTTCTGTTTACAAGTTTATGTGTATTACAACTCATTTAACTTAGGCTGCATGATACATTTAACTTAAGTGTTATTTATGTATTGAAATAGGTCCAGAGTGCTTTGACCTCTTTTTAAGAAAGCTTAATGTGGAATTTGAAATTTGGGGACAGTAAGGATTTATTAGATAAATAGGTATAAATTTAAAAAAACAGAAGTCTGTAGCCCCTTATTTAGTACCATCAACAGGCTCAAGTCAGCAAACTTTTTTTTTTTTTTAAGATTTTATTTATTTATCTGACAGAGAGAAGAGAGTACAAGCAGGGGGAGTGGGAGGGAGAGGGAGAAGCAGGCTCCCGCTGAGCAGAGAGCCTGACGTGGGGCTTGATCCCAGGATGCTGGGATCATGAGCCTAAGGCAGATGCTTAACCGACTAAACCACCCAAGTCAGCAAACCTGTGCCATGCTCCAGGTGTCAAAGAAGACAGGGATGGACCTTGTCCTCAAGACACATATAGTCAGAGGAGAGAGACTGAGGGCCGGAGTTACCTGTAATTCGTTGAGCATGGTGTGAGGTGCCCATGTGGCCCAGAGAAGAGAGTGATTCAGTCTGGAGATTTATAGAGGCCTCCAAACAGCAGGTGGTGCCTGAGATGGGTTTCGGAGGATAGCTCCCCTTAAGAAGGAGAGGACATTCTCTAGGACTGCCTGTATGGGTGATGGTGGGGAGAGCTGGAGCTGCATGTTCAAGGACAGATGGTGGAGGTGGCTGTGTGGGGGGCACCGAAGCTGCCAAGTTGCCTGAGCTGGGAGATGGAGGTGTGGGTGGAGGGCCTGTGAAGTGTGGGAGATCCCAGCCAACAGTTCTGATTGGAGGACTCCTGCTCAGTTACCTCCAATTATGGCTTTGGGGATAGAGAAGTGCAAAGATGGAAACAGGAGGTACTTTAAAAGGCTCTGGTTGTGGGGAGCTTCAGGATAACCAGCTCTTTGGGGTCTGGGACTTTTGGCATCTCTAAGTAATGATTTTTCCTTCTCGTGGGAGGCAGATGGGTCTGTCTTTGACTTTCATCTGTTCAGTCCCAGATGATGGGCTGTGTGCCTGAAGTAAGACAAGAGAGCAGAGTGTGTGCTTTCCCCAGATTCCCTGGTAAATGGTCTTTCTGTATTTAGACTTATGCTTCTCAGCTTTTAAGAAAGAATGGTGAGAGACATACCCCTCACCTCCCCAAAGGAGGTAAGAGTTATGATTGGTTGTTGTGCAGTGGTTGTAAAGGCTTAAATAATAGAAGGGATCAGGAAATTCTTCCAACTCCACTCCCTACCACCTTACCAGATCTGCAGACTTGGCTAGGAGACAGGGGCATCTTGCTCTGGGTACTGCCTCTGCCTAGTTTTCTATTGGATTGT